GATGTAGAGGATGTTCACAATCTGGAAACAGGTGGCATCCCTGCTGACAACGGGCCCGAAAAATTATAAGGTTGTAGTGATGCCGACAAAGTCGATTCTTTTTATAACCAAGTGTAACCGTGTTAGTGATCTCACAAAGAAGGAGGTCACAAGGTGTTAGTGCAGCATGTGGGGGAATGAAGACTAAAGCAAGCACAGTGATAAATATGGAGGTAGGCACGAAGACAAAACACAAATTCACGCATGGAGACAGGTGCGGAGGCAGGCACAAAGACAAGTGCAGAGGCGGAGACGAAATTCCACGAGGTACCCATAGGGTCAATAATCTGGAAGGAGATAAACACAGAAACAGGCACAAGGACAGGTAAGGAGGCAAGCACAGAGATAGGCGTAGAACCGGGTATGGAAGTACAAAAGGTACCCATAGGGTTAATGACATGGAACAGTTGCAGGTTAGGGTAATTACACAAAGATCACAAATGGTAGTAGTAGTTTGCACCATAGCACTACCATTCCATAATTCCCAAGAACTAGAGGCATGAACAAGAACGGTGTAGTGGCCAGGAGCATGCAGAATATAGGCACAAACGTGCGAACAGTGGTCCGGGTTGCCACCCAAAGGGGCACGCTGCATATCAAGCCGGCGCCTTATCAAAGCAGTTTCCAAAACAGAGACATTGAATCCCCCATGTCGAGTGTAATTACTATCATGTGGGGGGTTCAGACTCGGGTTATCGCCATATAACTCGAGTTCCTGAGCATCAAGATCGGAAGCAATGGCCAAAAAATCAGAGTGAGTATATATTGTTCTCGACGATAGGCTTGTAGGTAAATGTTAGTCGCAGCAAGGCTACACAAATTCGGTGGATGCCGGTCAGGCGGATTTTCTACAAAATCTCCTATAGTCCCCTTGCCAAGTTCATCCTCGGATGGTCCCTCGCCATCATCCCTACTATTTTGTGTTTGCCGCGTTGGAAAAAGGTCTGCAGTCAAAGAGCGTCGCAGGCGTGGTATGGATGTGAGAATGAAAAATGAGGAAGGAAGTGCACGTGCGCTGAAAACCGAGCGTGGTTGACTCTTCACCAAAACTGCAAAACTGTGAAAGAAAGAAGAATGCAGTAAAAAAAAAAAGATGTTTGTGTCACCTTTTTTTTTTTTTTTCCTCATATACACACACACACACACACACACAGAGAG